CTAAGATATAGGTTAAACATTTCAATCACTGACCTCATACCACAGTCTTGTGTCATGCCTTTTGTTAGTCGTTATTAGCAAGAGTGCATTCGCAAAAAAAAAAAAAAAGAATAAATAAATTACTCGTAAATTTACTATTTAAAATCACACTAATAACACAGAGTTTTGAGTTTACTCTTAAGTTTTCGTACCTAACAATGTTGACGTAAACAGCGGAAATGTGAAGCAGAAATCAAACATTTAGCTTGTACTTTCCCCGAGTTTTCAAAAACTTATGAAATGTCTCCTACATATATATTAGTTAAAACTTATAAGTATGTTTTTCCCCTGGACTAGTTGAATGGTAAAGTCCAAAGATCTATGCAAGATGCAATTGATTTCGCCATAATAAATTACCTTTCTGCTGGTATCAAATGAGTAAATAATAAGATAATAAGAAAAAACGTCATGCAATCTTCTTCTATTAAATTTAGTGATTCGATATCGCGTAATTGATATAAATTCAAACTAAAAAAATTTAATTTGGTGTGACTTGATACACGATTATGATATGATTAAGGGGGTTTTATATATATAGTTCTTACAAACCTTTAAAGTTGCAGGATACAATATTTAAGGCATCTAAATTAACAGGAGGACATACTATATATAATTATTCCCTCCCGAAAAAAAAAAAAAGACAAACAAAAAAAAAAAAGAAGAAGAAGAAAAGAAAAGGGAAGGCGCACTAGCAAAACACAAATTCAGTGGGCGTGGGGTGAAGGAGGAGTATAGTGATGTATTTTGTTCTTAGATGGGGAAGGTGGACTTGGTAAATTTCTTCCTCTTGATGTCTTCGTTATTTGATCTGCAACGCCAACAATGATCATCAATTTATATATAAGCTTGCATGAAAAAAAATAAAAATACAAACGCTACTAAGCTATATCTCTTTGAGTGACAATAAAAAAACATAAATTTGAAAAATACTAATTATTTTGTAAAACTCTTCCTTAAAAATGATCATCTACGTACCTTAGTATGTTTATTTAATATGTTTCTATCCCAATTGAGAAGTTAATTTCTGTATCATACGCTATGTTTTTTTTTATTATTATTATAGCGCTTTATGGTTTCTCAAATGTAACTTCTATGATTTAGAATTCTTATGATGACACAGTTGAATATCTTCCACATCCATCTAACTTCCATAAATGCCATGAACAAAGTTTCAGAAAAAGTAGATAAAAGGGTTTTCTGATCAATATGGTGTTTTTTTCTATAAAAATAAAAATAAAAAAAAAACTCTAGATGAAGTTGAATACAGTAACTTTGTACGTACCTGCAGTGACATAATGAATCTGTTGCTTAGTGAAGAATATAAAGAAGATCATCAAGATGATGAATAAATTTTTCAGCACTGAAAGAGTTGATGAAGAAAGTGTATCCAACCTCTTGGATTTGCTTGAATTCACATGTAAACTTCTTCTCCTCACCATCATAATCCTTGTATAAGAACTCTTGAGTTGCAACCTTATGTTTTGGAAGCTGCATATGATATGGAAGTTTTGTCTTAAATAAAGTAACAGACTGACTATTTCTTCAGTTCCAAAACCATTGTCAACCTTAATACCTACTTCACTTGAAATTGGGCTACAATATCATGTAATTAAAGTCATATGATATTGTATTCTTCTTCTTTTCTTTTTCTCTTTTTTTTTTAATTTAGTTATATATCCTTGAACTGTATTAACGTAGTGATTTTTTTAAGTTCTGAATTACTATTCTTGATGAGAATCATGTAGCCTTCCATAATGATTCTCCTAGAGAGGGGAATGAGCTAGTCCTTCATTCTAGTTTTGGAATGCCAAGTTTACTTTGCAGGCCAATCAAGGAAGAAAGGATGGGTCTTGATTACCCATGTGATAGGGAGTTGGTTCAAGAGAGTTATGATCAAGATGATGAGAATGTCATTAACTTTGGGGTTCAAACCAAAGGAGATGATGACCTCATAGAAATAAGTGCTCAAGAGTATCAAGGGAGTTTGACTCTATGTGCTCCATGAAGATCATTGATCAAGCTAGTGAGAAGAGTCATTTAGGCTCTTGAATGGACGGCCTATTTGATCAAAGTGTTCAAGATTGAGTGGATTGCTACACAATGGGATATGTTGCAAACTATCTTAATTATTTCAAGTATTTTTCCAATCTTTTAGAGTTAATAAAGAGAATTCTACAAGTTCTGGAGTAAATTAGAGTTTCTTACAACTTGAGGGGCGCAAGACCAATATTCCACTTTTGGAAGGGCGTTCAAGACATTTTACTTCAATAATTTGGAGCTGATTTTCGAGAATTAGAGTTTGTCTAAGTCTAGGAGTTATTTTCAAATTTTATCTAGTTAAATAAGTCATGTGGACTAAATTAAGCTTGGGTGTTTTGATTAGGAGTCTTAGATTCCTTCTAAGTATTGTCCTATTTGAGGATAAGTCATTTAGATAAGGTTTCTTAGATTTTAGATAGAGTCAAAGAGATCAAATACTCTTCTACTTCTACTCCTGCGTGAGATAAGATAGAGAGTCCTAGTTGATCTTCTTTTCTTGGTGCTGGCCGAAAATTCTTAGCCTATAAATAGGGGGGATGGCCGAAAATCAAAAGCACCCTTTGAGTAGTCATTTTTGTTGTCACTTTTGAGAGTTTTTCCTGTGAGGAATTTTTGTTAAATGGAGTGTCCATTTTTCGTGTCAAATATGATTTAACCAAGAGGGTTTTCGTCTTGTCTTGGATCTTTTGATCTTGCAAAAACCGTTCTTTTTCAAATATGCTTCTTGATAGAATTGTTTTAAACTAAACTTTTTATTTTCATACTACTTCTAGTAGTTCGATCGATGAGCCTTTCTTTTAGCTTGGTTTTCGAGTTCATGATGAGTGTGTTCATGAGTTCCATTATGGGGTTTGTCCTACTTTTGTTGGATGAGTTGTGTTTTGGCATAAGCATTTTGAGATAGTGTATGTGTTGCATATCTTTGTTGGTTATGGAGATTACTAATCAATAGTATTCCTTCATAGTTGATCATTGTTTGCTCCTACCTTTCTTGAGTCTTTTGAATGATGACTGATCGAGTATATTGAATGGTGTCCTTACTATTCTTAGTGTGGGGGGTTGTTTAATTCGAATCTTTCATGGATAATGTGTTCTTTACTTGATTTGAGATAAGAGATAGAAATCCTTAGATAAACGATCGTCTTACTGTGAATTTTCCGCACTCTTTTGAGTTTCACGGGATAGACAAATTATCTTCGTACTTTCTTGTTTGATGGTTGCATTAACGAAATTTGCTTCATCTACGAGATTGCTATCAGTTTCTGGTATCAGAGCTTGGACTACCTAAGTGATGGTATTAATTGATAATATCATATCAGTTTCTATTATCAGTTTGATTTTTGAGAGATTTCTTTTTCATTGAGGACTTCATAGTTCTTGGTTTTGAGAATGTCTTGAGTTACCACGGAATCCGTTTACTTAGTGTGGTAATCAAGCTTTGTGCTACTAACGAGTAGTACCATCTTTATTTGTTTCAAGGTTCCTTCTAGTTGCAGAATGGGTTTTGAAAAAATAAATCAAATTCTTGTGAAAACTACTTTTTCAAAATTGATCTTGTCTTTTGTGTGGTTGTGCGTGACTACTTACACATTTGTTTAATCTTATGGTGTTATTTTGGGGTCTATGGGAGAGTACATTGGTATCTAGTCAAAGTGGGCACTATATCTTGAAATTTATCCTTGATTTGCAAGTAGAGAACTGTTTCTCCTATGAGCAAGTTAGTGGATCTTATTTGTTGAATCTTTAAGGAGAGAATTGATGCCAAAGAAGAGCTTCTTGCTCGAGATAGCCTTTTCTTTCTAAAGGAGATGTCTTTACATGAGGAGGGTTTAAGAGTTTATCTTGTGGTAAATATCTTGGATCTATTCTTTGAAAGGTGAAGCTTAGTGATTTTGTACTTCTACATAAAGTATAAATGAAAAAGCCTTCCTTCTTGTTGGTTATTATTTGAATCTAATGAGTAAAATGGAATTTATGGATTTTCAATCAATGAGAATTTCATAGAGTTCCGATCTTGTTGGTCATTTTGTTTTGTTTAAATCTTAGTGTCAAAAGATTTTTCAAAAGTAACAAATTTCGGGTCTTTTGTTTTCTCGAGTCTTATACTTTGAGAATGAGTTGAATTAGTGGATCTTCCTATCATTGGACTTTCCATGATTCTTAACTTGAGTTTCAAAACTTTGTTTATCATTTGATGAAGAATGAATTTTGGTTTCAAATGTTTTAAAGGTCTTTGAAGTTGAATTGTGCCAACTTTAAGGGTTGAAGTCTTTGACTTGTGTTTAAAATCTTAATTTTCGAGAGTTGAATCGAGAATTGAGTGAAGTTTTACTAAAGATTCTCTTATTTATAACAAGAAATCTTATAGGCTTTGAGATATGCTCTTGAAGTTTACATATTTGGTCTTTGGAAAAGTTGATTTTCAAATGGTCACTTATGAAGATGGCATTGTTGAGTCAGTGAGTTTTATTAATGGTTTGTGTTAAATTGAGTATTATGAAGCAAACGTCATAGTTGAATGAGGAACTTTAATTTCCAACTTCATTATACTTATGGTGTTCTTGTTACTTTATTTGCCATAGATTGTTTTGGTAAAAAGTGATTTTTGTTAATTCCATATACAATTTGGAAAGGGGTTTTTAGAAAGTATTCTAAAAGTTGTTATCCATTTATGGAAAGTGGTAATTTTCAAGTTTCCTTTTTAAAGTGAGTCAAAAGTAATTTTTTAAATTTTAACTATGTGGTAAAAGGTTAATAGCCGAATTTTTGCTGACTTATTGCATGTGTGTGCGTGTGATTTATGTGAAATTCTAAGCCTAGTTGGTTTTGAATTTTAGAGTCATAGTATAGCCAAAATTTTGAAGCTAAAAATTAGGGTTTCCTAGTCCTAGTTGAACTTGAATTTTGGTTGTCTATTCATGTTACACTTGGAGACCTATTCGGTCTAGTATTAGAGTGTTCACATGGCCAAAAATTTTAGCCCTAAAATTAAGGTCATTGAGTCCAAATTGTGTTATGATTTGAGTCCTATTCGGTTTTGGATTTTTGTGTTCACATTGGCCGAAAATTTGTAGCTGCCTGGTTTCTTCGAGGACATATCTCCGCATCCTCTGTTGCTGATCGCTATCATCTCCTAGCTTCTTGAGTTCAGCCTCGATCTTGGCTAGCTTCTGATCCTCCAAACGCTTTTCGGCAGCAGGGGTATTTCGAGGAGAAGGTATATCCTCTTTCTCGAGTGGAAGATTGGTTTTGCCTTGTTTCTTCGGATCAGGTTGGGAAGCGCCAAGGACCAAGTGTTCTTTTGCTGGTTCTTTTTCAGGTTCTCCGCCATAGCTTTTTCCTGTCTTCTTTTTTTCTTGCCTGCATTGGAATTCGGCCAAGGGGGTGTTGTCCCCTAGACTATGCCGTTGGCCGGAAAATGTTGTGCTACCGGTGTCTTCTTCAACTCTAACCATTGTGTTGGTTGTTCCTGCAACCCTAGTTTTTACCGGGAGATGTTAAGGAATCCTGAGAAGGTTTTTGTGACACAAACCCTAGTTTTCGGGTCCCACTGAGCGTGCAACTTGGCGATGCTTGGTTTTGCGCCGCCGGTCTAAAGGTGGAACTCCGGCTAGGGTTTCCTGCAAAACAGGGTCTCGGGGTCTCCCGAGGGTAGATGCTCCGATACTTAAGTCAATAAAGGGTTGCCAGAAGATTTAGGTATGTAATATACTAAGCTATGTATTGCGTACCTGTATTGTGGCATGAGCAACCCTATTTATAGGTATTAGAATACCTGGAAAATCCCTGAGTCCTATTAGGTTTCGGGAACCTAAACCGCCTCAAGAGTCCCGGTTGGACTCTCCTTTCAGTTGATGGGCCGGTCCAGTCTCGGTGATGGATATGGACTCGTCAAGAAGCTTCGTTGAGAGATCTTGTTTGCCATCATTGTGGCTAGTTATTACCACATATGGCAAAACAAAAACAACCAGGTTCATGAAGGCAAGCATACAGCACTCAAAGTGGGGGTGGAGCAGATTAAAAAGAAATTGCAGTGGAGACTCCCATATGCACAAAAACATTATCTGAACGGACAAATTTTCCAGACCCAAAATGAATGAAATCAGGTAGTTGATTCTTCTGTCAGTGTCATAGTGGAGTTAAATTTGAAATTTGGGTTGTTCTTGGAATAGTGATCACCACCGCATCAAACAACTGGCGAACCACAAAGCCTTTTCTTAAGTAAAAAAAAAAAGTGGCTCAATTCAAAACCAAAGCTCCAATGTTTAAAATCAAGAGAAGCTCCCAATATTTTGATGATGGTTTCAGTACTGTGTCAAGAGGATCTAGTTTAATTGTCCAGTTTATCAAGATAAGGACTCTGTCCGGATTAGAAATTGGTGCGGTAATGTCAATATCCTTCCCATTTTAGATGTGAGTGAAAAATTAATCGGTTCCAAATGATGAATCAAGAGAACTATGTAAAGATAGCCACTGCAATTGCAAGTTCCTAACTCGAGGGACCAATAAGATTTCCTTTCAATAATGCAAAATAAAGAAGCTTAGTAGTTATCTTCAAAGCTAATGTACCAGAAGTTTTGACTGCATTCTTTCACAGTCGACTGACTAATAAGAGAATGAGTTATGCCTTTGTTGGACATTTTAAGTAAAAGCTGTTAACTTCTAAGCAGAACGTGTGAAGAAGAAAGGTAAGACTGTTATGTTAAACTGCCTAGTGGTTGATCATCCAGTCGAGATTAGTAATGAGGAGTCTTCAAACTTCAATCACTAGGTCGCCTTCCCGCCCATAGATAAAGCTCTCTAGTTCATTTAACATAGCTGTCAGGAAGCGTAAGAAACATTCATCAGCTAACTTGATCCAAAAGAAAGAACAATGACAGAGTAGAATACAAGAAGGATATATATATATATATATATATATATATATATATATATAGAAAGAGAGAGATAGAGAGAGAGAGCTTGAAGATGAACTCAAGAGTACTCTTTTGACTTGGCTATGCAAAAGCAAGTTAGAAGCCATTCATTGATTGATGCAGGCGTGTACACTAAGCTTTTCATAATCCTAAACTGATATAAAAAGGGAATACTGGATCTGAAATAAGGTGCTGACAAATAATATAAAACTTTCCTAAGATCATAGGAAAAATTGGCCGATCTACCCAAAGGTTGACATGCGTTGTCAATTTCACCCTATTCTTTTTCGGTTAGCCAATATTACCCTAAGCTATCCAACCGTTAGCCGATTTTGTCCAATTTGCCAATTTCCGTTTAAATTAACAAAATTCTGTTAGTTTTAATTACAAAAAATACCCTGATAATTTTAAAAATTAAAAAATGACCCCAAAAATTTTTAAAAATTACCAAATAGTCTTTTTTCACTTTTTATTTAATTTTTTCTGTTTTCTATTTCTTTTCACTATTTCTCATAACTATAAAAATATATTATATAATCTTTTAAAAAAAAGCTATTTATTTTTAAAACACTATTGTGCAAATTTATAGATATGCATATTCGTAACTCATGGTTGATTTACATAAATATATTAATTTTTTAATAATATGGTTTAATAGTAATGATATTATTTTTTTTAATCTATTTTTTTCAATCTAAAAAATAAGATTATTTAACTAAACCTAATTTTGCACAAAAAATAAAACATTTAGCATGGATTAAATTTTTTTTATTGGTATACTTTAATGTATTATTACAATATAATTCAACAGAATTTAGATTGTATTGTAAAATTAAAAAAATTATTAAACTAAAATATACATTTTCTTTAAAAGGCTAAGTACAAACAGAAAGTAAAAGAAATGGTACAAAATATTTTATAAAAAATATGTAAATTTATCATTGCAAGAGTTTAACATTTCGTGATAATTTTTTTGAGATATTAACATCTAACTTTAGCAGGAAATTTTTTTTTAATAATAATAAAAAAAATCTGCTCCAGTACTGGATTCCACCTTTTAAAAAAAAAAAAACGATTGCCCCAGTGAGAATTGAGGACTCGAACACAGTAATAATCATCTCCCATCTTAAATCACCTAACCATCCAACTCAACCCTCTCACCTTTAGTAAACCATGCATAAATGTGGATAAAATCACTCCCCCGGTTAAAAATCTTTGGTGAGAATTAATCTTATATCTACTATCATGAAGCTCAACACCCTAAACACTAGATTGTACACTATATTTTAGTTTAGTAAATTTTTTAATTGGATAATATAATCTATAGTTTGTTTATTCAATTTGTAATAAATTAAAATGTACTAATATATTAATTTTTAATCTATGCTAAATGTTTTACTTTTACAATCTAATATATTAATTAATTTCCTAATTGTAATACAATTTTGTTGTGTGTTTTATTTGAGTCCTACTTGGATTTAAATACTAATTTTTGAATGTGTTAAATTATATTCAGTGAGATTATAACTAGAGTTTTAAAGTGAGTCTATTTTCGAAAACTATTGAGATAAGGAAATCTTATCCTAATCTGAAAATTTTTTAGTCTTCTAATACAATTGTGCTTGTGTGTGGCCGTGTTTTTGAGTCCTAATTGCAGTAGGGGGGTCGGATTTTTATCTCTAATTAGTAGGGATGAATTTTCATAAGTTGTATCCAAAAAGGATTATGATTACCTAAGTTTTAGGACTCTATCCTTTTCTATATATATGTGGCCAGTTTTTCTTCCTTTTATTCCATATGTTCGACTGAATTTTATCCATTAAAGGGGGAAATATTTTTGAGAAAATTTAGGTCCTATCTTGTAGGAGTTTTCTTGCACAAAAAGACTTGCATTGCCTATAAATAGGAGTGCTGTTTTTCGAAAATTCTCACACCACTCTACTCCATTCTTCTTCTTCTTCTTCTTGCTGCCGAGGTCACAAGGGTAAAATAAGAGAAGCACTCTTCTCTTTATTCTGAATTTTTGAGAGTTAGTGTTCTTAAAAATACAAGAGAGTTTTTGTTTTTGGGGAGAGCATTATTCGAACCTTCCTTTGGTTCTTGGGAGGGGGGGGTTTCGGCCGAACCAACATTGGTTCTAGGGTTCAAGGAGTTTTTGTGTAGTCACAAAGGCACATTACTTCTCTTGTTGGTGGTTTCTCAAAGTTGTTGAGCAAAGATATCATCCGGAGTTGCTGGTTATACTCAAGTTACATCAAAGAGTGTTGAGGGTCGCATGGAGGCTCAAGTACAGCTCATGAAGATTCAAATTGACTTCTTGCATGATGCTTTGGCCGAGGTGAAGGAGGCAAACCGAGACTTGACTCAATTGCTTTCAAATCAGCAAGATAAAGCTATAGTAAGTTTTGAGAAAATTGCTGAAAATTTAAGAGTCTTATGTGATCGTTTTGAAGTAAAACAAGTACCCTTGTATGCTGGAATGTTGCAAGTGTCATTGCCTTTGTTTTATGGTTGCCATAGAGAATATGATACTTGGGAAAATAGCATAGAGAATTTGTTTGTATTGCTTAACATAGAGAAAGAGAGTGAGAAAATAGCCTTAGTTATAGGTTGTTTTCGTTCTAGTGCTTTGAATTGGTGGAAGCTAGTTTCAAATATCTATTCGCATCATTGGTATCGTAATTTGGATGATTGGCATGATTTGAGAAATGCTTTGCGAGAAAGATATGCTGGTATTAACACCTTTGATGAAGCAAAAGTGAAGTTGCTCAATTGTAAGCAGAATGGTAGATCCATTCAATCTTACTTTGAGGAATTAGAAGGGTTGTTTCTGAGTTCAAGGGTGGATGAGAACGACTACAAGTTGACAGATCATTTCCATTATGGCTTGGACAAGGGGTTCAAATAACACCCAAAGATAAGGAGGCAATCAAGGCTCTATGAGGCATATTATGCTGCCTTAGAAGTGGAGAGAGAGCATGATACTTCTTGTGGTTTGAATGGTCCAATTGAGGATCAAGGGTTGGTGTTTGGCGCTGAAGATGGTGATCAACGGACTTGTATCTTCCGTACTAAGTGTTTAGTTGGGTAGTCCAATGAAGTTGATTTGGTGATCGACGGTGGGTCGAGTACTGATTGTATAAGTGAGGAATTTTGCATAGCAAACGGAATCAAGATGGATCCGCATACTAGACCATACAAGCTTCAATGGTTGAGTGAAGAGATGGTTGTGGATGTCACTAAAAAGGCCATGGTATCTTTTCAAGTTGGTGAGTATAGGGATGAAATTTACTTTGATGTAATTCCTATGTCTCTTTGTGATATTTTGCTAGGTAGGCCTTGGCAATCAGATGTAGATGTTGTGTACCATTGCTCGAAAAATATCTTTGTCTTTACTAAAGAGGACAGAAAGTATATTCTTAAGCCTTTGGCTTATAAAGAAGCTGAATCTGTGCGAGAGAAAAGACGTAAGATAACCTATACACAAGGGAGAGAAAAAGTCGAGAGAGTGACGCAAGAAAGTAAAAAAAATGAGGTAAGACTTGAGGCGAGAGAAAACCATGAAAATAGCGTGAAAACAGAAAAAAAAAATGCACGCAATGAGAGAAAATCAGAGTGTGGTGAGGGTGAGGATTTTACTAACGCTTATATCTCGTTTGTTCCTTGTTCATGTTTAGAGGTTGATGATTCGAGGACGAATCCTCTTAAAGATGGAGGGGATGATGAGAATCATGTAGCCTTCCATGGTGATTCTCCTAGAGAGGGGAATGAGCTAGTCCTTCATTCTAGTTTTGGAATACCAAGTTTACTTTGCAGGCCAATCAAGGAAGAAAGGATGGATCTTGACTACCTATGTGATAGGGAGTTGGTTCAAGAGAGATATGATCAAGATAATGAGAATATCATTAACTTTGGGGTTCAAACCAAAGGAGATGATGACCTCATGGAAATAAGTGCTCAAGAGTATCAAGGGAGTTTGACTCTATGTGCTCCATGAAGATCATTGATCAAGCTAGTGAGAAGAGTCATTTAGGCTCTTGAATGGACGGTCTATTTAATCAAAGTGTTCAAGATTGAGTCCATAGCTACACAATTGGATAGGTTGCAAACTATCTTAATTGTTTCAAGTGTTTTTCCAATCTTTTGGAGTCAATAAAGAGAATTCTACAAGTTTTGGAGTAAATTAGAGTTTTCTACAACTTGAGGAGTGCAAGACCAATATTCCACTTTTGGAAAGGCGTTCAAGACATTTTACTTCAATAATTTGGAGCTGATTTTCGAGAATTAGAGTTTGTCTAAGTTTAGGAGTTATTTTCGAATTTTATCTAGTTAAATAAGTCATGTAGACTGAATTAAGCTAGAATGTTTTGATTAGGAGTCTTAGATTCCTTCTAAGTATGATCCTATTTGAGGATAAGTCATTTAGATAAGGTTTCCTAGATTTTAGATATAGTCAAAGAGATTAAATACTCTTCTACTTCTACTCCTGCATGAGATAAGATTAGAGAGTCCTAGTTGATCTTCTTTTCTTGGTGCTGGCCGAAAATTCTTAGCCTATAAATAGGGGAAGCACCCTTTGAGCGGTCATTTTTGTTGTCTCTTTTGAGAGTTTTTCCTGTGAGAAATTTTTGTTAAATGCAGTGTCCATTTTTTGTGTCAAGTATGATTTAACCAAGAGGACTTTCATCTTGTCTTGGATCTTTTGATCTTGCAGAAACCGTTCTTTTTCAAATATGCTTCTTGATAGAATTGTTTTAAAACTAAACTTCTTATTTTCATACTACTTCTAGTAGTTCGATTGATGAGCCTTTCTTTTGGCTTGGTTTTCGAGTTCATGATAAGTGTGGTCATGAGTTCCATTGTGGGGTTTGTCCTACTTTTGTTGGATGAGTTGTACTTTGGCATAAGTATTTTGAGATAATATATGTGTTGCATATCTTGTTGGTTATGGAGATTACTAATCAATAGTATTCCTTCAAGTTGAGCATTGTTTGCTCCTACCTTTCTTGAGTCACTTGAATGATGACTGATCAAGTATATTGAATGGTGTCCTTACTATTCTTAGTGTGGGTTGTTTAATTCGAATCTTTCATGGATAATGTGTTCTTTGCTTGGTTTGAGTTAAGAGATAGAAATCCTTAGATAAACGATCGTCTTACTGTGAATTTTCCGCACTTTTTTGAGTTTCACGGGATAGACAAATTATCTTCGTACTTTCTTGTTTGATGGTTGCATTAACGAAATTTGCTTCATCTACGATATTGTTATCAATTCTCTTTGCAACGGAAAAGAAAAGAAAAATCAAATACATCAACCGCTCATAATTAGTCATCGCTTGAATAAATCGCTTAATTGGTTTCATGGTTATGATTCTTACATTTTAGTTCACCATAGTGGGACAAATTCAGAATGGCAAATTGATTTTGAATGTACCAGTCCAAGTGATGTATACATGGTACTCATGTCGCTCATCGCTATGTGGAAAAAAGAATCCTTTTTGTTGTAAATTTTTTGTTATTTTTGCTTATCAGTAATATAACTTACATTTTTACAACAACAAAAAAAAGGTAGAAAGAAATTAAGATTTCGGGTTTGAATGGTAACTGCAGAAGTAAAGGCTTACGAGTTAGGTCAAATATGTTTAGGACAAATGTTTTCATGTTAGAGGTCAGTACGTATCCAAATTAATTTGTTCTAAATGTCTAAAAACAAGAAAATTTATAACAAGGAATACGGATATGATATAAAACAAGGAAAAAGAATCTAAAATTAATATATTAATAAAATCGATTAAGGTACTTCATATTATATTGTTGTCATTACCCTGATTTTGTACCCCCAAAAAAAGAAATAAAAGATAAAATTATACAAACGAAAAATAAAAAGAAAAAAGAAAAACTTAAAAGACAAAGAAGGTGCCGTTATTGGACCTGTTGTGAGAAATTTATCCGCACAGAGAAACATACCTGACCCGATCGGGATTAGTCAAATTAATAAATGCAAACATTGAGTATATGCGTAATATATCTTAAAAAAAAAAAATTGTCAAGGGTCACATAAATTATTTTTAATGCTCGTACGCTTATCTCGAGATATTGACAATGTCTAAAGGCTAAAGCTAAACCATTAATTACTTAACTAATGAATTTACCATTTCAAACCTTCACTTTACTGACTATATATATATATATATATATATATATATATATAATTTTGAAGCTAAGACAGGTATTGTTAGTTTAGGTATTTCAATCCGTCACCGTCGTTGACATAATTACTTCAAAGCTCGCCACTTAAGTCGACATGTTCCAGGTCCAATATGTCTATTTCTCTTTAGCAATTTGTTCTTGTTTCTAAAGTACTTTTATGATCGATCGAGGACAGTGAAATATAGTAATGCAAAGTTTAATCGTTGAGTTGACAGATTAAATCTTGTTTACCATTCCATTTTTTAATTTGTAGTAGTTGTTAGGAGTGGGATCGGAGAGTTAGTTTGGTTACTTACGACAAGGAAGTGAGGAGTATGAAGTATGAACTGACTAATGCTCCCTCCAAATTTCTTGAAAAGACTAAGAACTATTGACCATTGGGTTGATTTGAAAAAAGTAAATAAAAAAGTGGGACACTAATCCCTATTTTTTATGAAAAAAATCTTAACGTTGGTCAGAATTTGATTTCCGATGATCTCCGGTGTAAAATTTTGTATAACGGTACTAAATCACGAAGACGAATTCCTGAATTTTTCATAATTTGGGATGAAATTATTTTAGTTTCTCAAACCTCCGGCCAAAGACCAAATTTAAATGCTAATGGCAATGTAAAAAATTAAACTTTTATCCTCGATAACATAAAGTAATAAAAAATATGACGAGTAATCACGATAACATTCTATATTACTGGTTCATTTTCTATTGTACTAAATTCATATAAATAGCACTAGAATTTTGAGCTAGACGGACTATACATATTACCGATCCACTTACTATTATACTAAAACTATTAATATAATAAATGAGACAATAATTTTAGGACAGACGACGACAGATAGTAAGAAAAAAAAAAAATTTCAAACAATTACTCATTGAAATCTAGCCCATGGGAAGCAATGAATTTTTTTCTTAGGAGTTGGGGAAGACTGTAGCAGATGTCGTTGTTGTGATTGTTGTTTCCCTTTTGTTGTCACTAAGTGGGATTTTAGTTTATTGACATCAGACTGCTTGACAGGTTTAAGGAAGAAATCCTTTGCTCCCTCTTCCAAGCATCTCTTAATCCTTGATGGTTCATTCTCAGATGACATTATTACAACTGGAATGTCCTTCAGCACTGATGATTCCTGCAAATTCTTAGTTAATATATAAGTGGCAACAAAATGAGAACTAATTTATAATAATAATGTGTATCTACAAATGTTATAAGAATATTTATTTATCTATTTATTTACTGCAAAAATAATTTCCAAAACAGTTCTGACCTTAATCTTTCGCAATAAATCATAACCCGTCATTCCTGGCATGCAATAATCCGTGATGATCAAATTGATTTGCATATTCTGAAATGGTTAGAAAAAAAAAGAGAGAGAGAGAGAGAGAGAAAACAACTGATAAATATTTGTTGAGAAAAATCATTAACATAAGATGGGCAAAAATAAATAAATGAAAATAATTTTTACATCGTTGCAGCAAGCGTTTTCTTTTTCCTCTTCGTGTAATCCCAGAAACTTTAGAGCGTTAATTGCTGAATCAACAATGGTAACTGCCCCAAAAAAAAACAAAGAACAAAGCAAAACCAAAAAAATTAATTAGATTTTTCAAACAAAATAATTAAAACATTAAGATTATCTGTCATTAAATATGTAGTCCCTATTACTTAATATTTTTTACGGTCGAAATCTTCTTATATGTAGGTTTGAATTAATACCAAAGAAACCACGAAAAAAAAAAATTGAAAGCCAGCATTAATAGATTTTTGTGATGTATCTTCATTTTCCTCTTCTTCTTTCTTGTTTATCTTGGAAAAAGGATAAATGGTTCGAAAGTGATAAGAGAGGGATCCATAAGGTGGTAAGAGTAAGAAGATCTAAAATTCAAACTTTGGTACATACAATTTCGAAATGAAACAAAAAAAAAAAAAAATTACCACAGAGAAACTGTAAAATATACCTTGGAAAGAAGAAGTCTTGAGGAGCCTCTCAATCATCTTTCTATCAATGATGCTATCATCAACAGCTAAAACATGAAACCTATAATTATCCGTGGCCACTTCTCCCATTTTTTTGTCAAAATTTGGAGAAAACCCTAAACCAGAAGAATTGAAGGAACAAATGATTTGTGAAAAGAAACAAAAAAAAATAATAAATAAATAAGAGAAGCCCAGATGAATAATACTTAGAAAGAGGATTGAGGTTGTAATAATCATCATCAGCTTTATATAAAACTGCCTAAATGAAGTAAATGTTAACGAGGGGAAGGAGATAATTAAGCAAATATTGTATAGGATCTGTGAGGTTTTCTCTTAGCTGGTTTTTGAATGTGTAGGTTGAAGAAAAGAATTACACACATTCACATAGTACGTGTCAGATTTGTTTTTGATGCGTTGATTTCCAAAATCAAAGATTTGGTTGCATTATTTCGTGCAAAGAACCTTGTTTTTTTTTTTTTCCTTTAAGAAAAGATTAATAATAAAGATGATTTTTTTTTTTCTTGATCTCTGAGATCTTCATATATTCTGGGTGTTTGAATTTTAGTCATTTATTAGGTTGAAGAGGTATCATTGAGTCAGATTTTTTTTCGTTTTGAAGAGTGGATGTTTGATATGAAGATTTGGTTTGTCTTTTGTGGCATTGAGGATATTCTCTGAGATTTTATTTTATTTTATTTTTTAATTTTTTGAAGCAAAGTCTGAAGAATCAGCAAAGTTGCATCGCATAATTATGTATGGTTTTAGTGGGATTTGTTTTATAAGTGATGTTTGACAAAAAGATTTCCTTTGGTGGACGTCTAACGTGGTATTACGTAGCCTCGAGGCTATTTTTTTTATTACATTATGCAAATTAATTGATTTCTTATAGAACACAGTATTGGTAGGAAACAACATGAAATAACTATATCTATTCCCTCACTGCAAAAAGAAAATACATTTCAAATAATTACACCATCCAGATGTAAAACAAGATGGGTCGTATATTCTTTGATATGACATGATATTAAACTTTCAATATGTTTGAGAAAAAAAAAATTAATGCGTTGCTTTTTCTGTCCTTTTTAATAGTCAGAAAGCTTATTTTTAATATTAATCTAATTTGTTACCCGTTCCTTGAATAGGAACACAAGACTTTAATATAAATTAATATATGCTGTTACTTCTCTAATAAACAATTTATACTCCTGTTTCTAAAATAGTACTACTAATCCACATTGAATTTAGGAATCTGAATTTTTAAAATGGTGATAGAATATAAAAGTAAAATATATTATTTAATCACTTGAATAATGATATCCATAAAACCAAGAAGATGCTATTGTCAAAATTTTACATTACATATTTTGCTAGCTTTATATTTTCTAGATGTACGCAATTGATAAGTATACAATAAAAGTGACTATAAGGGGTCAGAATAACTGGGAGGGACAACACAAAAGTTCCCCCATAAAAAGAGGGAATATCCTGGAGAGAGGCAGTTATTTTTTGAGTTTTAGTAATCATTACTTTCTGTTTAAAAAAATAATTCACATTGTATTTTTGAATTTGTACCATGACTAACATACTAAAAAATAAGCACACAAATGGAATCTAGGCTTTGTTGGCATAAACCCTAAACCTTAAACCCGTCATATGGTTACAAATTTTCCCCTCCATTAGTGGGAATGGGGAAGTCAGCAGGTCTTTCACATCTTCTACTCCATATATGGCTTCATCCTACGTACATCTGCGTACTAACTCTACAGTCTACATCAATGTTAAATCTAGGCTTCTTCCGTGTAGCAGCCTATGTGAAAAACCTCAACTGTGTCGACACTTTGATCCTCACTAGAGGTGTTTTTTGATGAGGACTTTGCTGTGGAAAAACTTCGGTAAGGACGACAAACTGGAGGTAAAAATAATCCTGATTGTTTGTCCATCAACAGCAGCCGCCCACATTTGCTGCACAAACATCTCCCAAATTTCAGAACCAGAAATGATAATGTTGTTCTAGCTTAATGACTGGAAGGAGATGTTAGTCTCACCTGCAAGCTTTTGAGAGGATAGTCTGATAACTGCACACCCAATTCTTCAAAAAACAAAACGAAATACACTCAAATACATTTCGACTGTGTGCAAATCAGGAAAAAATAACATCATGTATTCGGGATTCTGAAAAAGAAAACCAAAAATTAATGAGAATTACCAATAACGTATACAGGGCCGTTTCTGCGTTGCTACCAACAAAATACTGCAGAGCAAGGGAAGCATGTTCCTATGGCATGGCAGTATTTCAACAATATTACAGTCAGACAGGTGAAGCAATACCAACCACCACATCACCAGATAAAAGGAACAATAGAGACAAACACCATAAAGTATAGAATATTCAAGCTGTTACCGTTATATGCTTAAATACATGATGAGTTGAAACCCCTCTTGCATGCATATAACTGCCACCCTTCATATGGAAGTAGTAAGTCATCAAAAACAAGTCAATAAATTTCAAAAGAAAGCTACTACAAAAAGTAGGAAGAGAAAGGGAGTAGAGTGAAAACCCCCAGGTCTTTCTAATATGTGAGATGGGCTATATGACTCGTATGACATGCTCTCTCAGGGAAAAGGGAGAAAAAGGATCCAATAATTGCATTTACATGGTAGAAAAATTTCAATCTCAATCCAGAGAGAGAGAGAGAGAGAGAGAGAGAGATAGTTAAAACACCTTCATGCAGCAGATTAAAGCTACGTATATTAACAAAGAAAACTGTGTGATTCCGGATGCTTTTTGTGAAGAAACAATTTACTGGACATTCATCAAGAGAATTCCGGATGCTTTTTGTGAAGAGACAATTTATAAATAAATGCTGTAGTCTTTTTCCCACAGAAAAAATGCAGGTTCCAGTAATTCCTTTATCTACAACGTGTGGAAGTACTCATTGGCAGGAATTTTATTACAAATTAACCTAGGGAGTAAGTTTTGATGTAACTGTGCCCCAGTAATAAATTATTTAACTGTGCTCAAATGCCAAATGAATTAACAGAGAGAAATGAGAATCTTGCACAAACCATATATTCTTTGGTCATTAAGGTAGCCTATAGGTTCAGAAAGCACTCTCTGAAAGAGCTGAAAGAATGAAGCAATAAAGGATTGGCTGATCTGGGGAGACGATTTTCTACTTAAGCATACAGCATTCCGTACTCGGTTGTACCAAAAAGCATCTGGACAGAGTACATCTTCAAGTAAGCTTCAATAACAAATTAGCATTTATCCCAGTATGTAGGATCGGCTAATTCATGGCAATAATGTCTAACATATGAAGCATTCTTGACAGATTCTAAACAGAATAAAAGGGCGCAGATCAAAAAAAAAAAAAACTTCTGCATCTGGAACAAAGGTTACCTCATGAGGAGAGAAGAAAGCTACAGCATCAGGATCGGTGGAACCAGCTGGGTGTAATGATATTATAACTCTGAAGATGGATGGACACAACAACTCGATAACAGAAGCTTTATCTGCAGTAACATTGCTTACTGATGGTAGTCCTAAATCACTGTGAAAGCCATGATCCTTCGGGGACTCTATAGAACTTTCACAAGAAGGCAGCATGGAAGCTCGTTTCAACCACTCTAACCTCTGGTAAGTAGAGGTTTTGACATTTGGAACCTCTTTCTCCAGAAGCATCAGAACATCTGACAATGTTCTCTGGTCACTTAATTCTTCCGAAGGTTGTGGCACACAAAATTTCTTTTTCGCAGGTTCTGCACCATCATCGTCATCAAGATGGGGAAAAAATCTTCTTTTTTGATCAGTGAATGCTTTGAGAGCCAACCTACAAACATCCCAATTCAAAGTAATCCGAATTCAAGAATTTAAATTGAGAGAAAGTGATAAGACAAAAAACGGAAGCATGTATGCTAAAAGATTGACGGCAGTAGAATCTAGCTAAATACTAACCAACCATAACCCCATGATATTGGTGGGGAAAGCATTTATTGACGGCAATGAAGACAGTCAAATTACGAAGGTATAAGTTCCTTTTCATTAATCACAACTGAACAGTGTCTATACACTACAAATATTTAATTAAGTTGTATGCACATCAACATTTTACCGCAACTAAAATTCCTTACAGAAGTCTCGAGTTATGGAAACACGGAACACCAAACCACAACTCAACTTTATGCTAGTAAACCTTCAGTGTTCAAACACCGCTATAGACCATCTTATATCATATGTTCAACGGATGATAAGCTTAATGTTTCCCATCGTCAAGGGGTGTGTGTCAGTCAGGCATTGCATGTGCTCTCGACAACAGGCCTGTGCAAGTGTGTATTTTCAGTTCTTGTTCACTATACTTATTTTTTAGCACCATCACCTATCTAGATATCATCAACATGAAACCAAAAGTGAATATCTATACTTATTTTCAGTGCATAAACCAATCTCAACCACATCTTTGAATATGAATCGTAATTTGATTATGCTAAAGATAAATAATCGAGCATAAAGTTTGGAGTTGAAATTGTGAGTATCGAAGAGTATTTAGAGAACATGGGCTGGCTGCAACAGCAACCAAAAAGTTTCCTCACAACATAGGTGAGGTCTACAGGATCTAAAATCACATTCCGTCAAAGACGTCCCTGTTGAGGTTCTGAAGTCCAGTTATTACAATAATTTTTTCCCCATTCTTTTTAAGTGTTTTGTTTCCCCTTCCAATTTCAAATATTGTTGATGCTTGTCTACTTCCTATTCATCTAGCTGAAAAATCTAAAGAACATCGGGTGTCTTTATGGCTCTCACAAAAAAAAAAAGCAATTATAAAGTTTTTGTTAGTAAATTCTCCACTTCCGAAACAAATTTTAGGAAACAACTATATTCTCTTGATTAAGTTAAACGGATACACGACACTTGACCAATATTTCTTAAGAATGTAAAATTCTTGATGATCCACAACTCTACTTCAATGATTCTATCAAAGCAATATTATGCATATGTCATATATTTATCAGATAACAAGCATTTTAAATTATTAGGTCACCCGTTCTATGTGAATGACTAATTCCATAATTACTGTTCCACGTGAAAAACACTTTCGCTTTAGTACCCCTTGTAGAATTAATGTTCAGCATACTAATGATCAATTCAAATATAGAAGGTTCATCATTCACAATTTGACATTAGGCCAGGCACAATGCTTATTTTGACACAAATAAGTTAACTGTAAGAAAGATCAAGTTAGAGTTCTAAAGATCTTGTCTTAGCCATGTGAATCATTCCCATTCAAAAGGCAACAAGAACAATTAAATTATCAAAAATAAAGTGGACATATAAACATGTGGACAAAAGAATGCTACCTAGTCCGGTCTACGGCAGATGCACCAGCCTGGCCAGCAAGTTGACGTTTCCATGCATAAGCAACAACAGCACCATCTGGACAAACCAGAGGCATGTGAAGCCCCCATGAATTACTTCTGGAGCGAAGAGAATCGTTGAGAACACCAGAATCCTCTAACTGCTTACCTAAGGCACCAAAGCTCAACTTAGATGACAAAACCAGTCGGTCCAGTTAAACCACACAAGATAAGCATATAAACCTTTTCTAAGATGAATTGGCTATATTGTCAGTGTCTAGACTAGAAATAGTTCAAATGATAATGAGAAGCAGAGAGACAGCAGATGTAAATCCCTGCCCCCATCTAAATACCACCGTCATCATTTCTCTCTATATTTACCAAATTAAAAGTATCTTGTTAAATTCATTGGACTGCATTGATAGTAGTACAAGTTCTAGTTAGTTTAGATGCTTTATAACTTTTGCTCAATGAGCAATACATTCCAATATAAACTTTGCCAGATGTGTATATTTTCAAATTGGGCCACATGAGTAACATATATGATCCTTACATTAGAAAAATTAATTATAGGAAAATTGATTTTCCCCCTTGTCCCAACACAAAGTCACACATGAAAAAGCTCACGTACAAACAACTTAAACAGATCATCTGGCAAATGCAAAATCTAAATTCACAGGTCATAATACCTCAATTTATATAATACTCCAGGTTAAACGCCAAAGAAGCTTCATTTCTTTAAAACGGGGGATAGAGGGAAAACCAGTCCAATCATAAACTCTTCATTAAAATTAAACGCCAAAGCCCTAATTTATAATCTGATCATTCCCAAAAAGGGGGAAAAAGAACCAATGTAAATACAAAGAAGCTAGAGCCTAAAAATGTTCATATTGACATAGTGTCTACGAAAATCCGATTGACATATTGATAATTGCAAAATCAGCAAATTTACAGGTAAACAAAACAAAAAAAATACTAAGCACTTACCGATAGCGAGGAGGTCTTGGAGATGCTGACGCATAGAAGCTTCTTCTTTAAGGATGAGTTGCAAGGGTTTATTTGATTGCTGATGTTGCTCAGAAGCGGACACAAATAGGGCTTCTAATAGCCGATCGGCACCGATTCTAATGTCAGCAATGAGACGCCCGGCTTGAGATAGCCTGTCCATGGCGAGAGCCACCTGTTTGGGAGGCGCCTCGAATATTGGCTCACTGGCCGACGGTTGTGGCCCGGCGTTGCTCGCCGCCGTTTGCGGTGGCGCTGGAGATGATTGTTGCATACTGGAATCAGATTGGGTTACTGAAAACAGAGAGGAGAGATTCTAGTTTCTGAGATTGTGATGGGTTGTTTTCAAATGAACGAGTCGTAGGTGTGTGGGGTTGACCCAACTAGAAATAAGAAAATAGAAAATCTCTTACTATATTAAACTCAAAAAGTAAATTCAAGGATTTCCATGTAAACAAGACTCACTGTATTAAAGATCATCATGTTATTTTACCAAAGTACTTATTTACCGTCCATTAGACGGACAGACAAATTTAACTAGAAATTATAAAATAGAGAAAATAAATATATTACTCCCTCCATTCCAAAATAAGTGTCATTCTAAACTTTGCACATAGTTAAAGAAACTCTTAAATAGGGTAATAAAATTACTTAAATATCCTCAACCAATCCCACTAAAAAAATGTCCACCAATAGTATTAATTCTTTCGAGGGTAAATTTATAAACTTTGGACAAAAAGTGCATTAAAATGTGAGAACGACACTTATTTTGAAATTTTTCTATTTTGCTTAAACAACAATTATTTTGAAACGGAGGGAGTAGTACTTTATGAATTCCGCGTGAAAATAAATATTAAAATTGAAGTTTAAATATAATAATACCTTTTTCAATCGAAATAGAATATTAAAAAAAACACAATTTTCGTTATAAGTTATCGTAATATTTTATTTAAATATCAATAGTACTAGAGAAACAAAAAAAATAAAATAAAATTGTTTGGCCTGGAATTACATAATCACATGTATCTCTTGCAATACTTATTTTTACAAGATATCTGTCATTTTGTTAATGATATTACTATATCGATTCCAAATTAGTATCTTGATTCGTTGTCTTGAAATAACCCTTGGTAAGACAATACATACTTGTGACTAAAAACAAGGCGACAAACATATACTATCACGTGGAAAAAAGACGGGTCTGATTTTTAATCATTTCTGGTTCTGCAGAATTTATGCAGCATTTCGTATCTACATTCGACCAAATTTGGAGTACCACAGGAGGAAGTGGTATGAAAAGGAGTTAATGGGTTACTTGGTTCAACCCAGATCTTGACTCTCAAGTACGCTGCTTTTTGGAGCGAGAAATAATCCTCCTTAATCTTCTCCACCTCTCCTAACATTTCTGCCAGTTCTCTGGCCCCTCTCCAGTTGAAATTAAGAAGAGGAGTCTTGTGCAAATGTACCCACATTGACAATTTTGTAATTCGGACTCTGTCCAAAACAAGATCATCGTCCTCATACCACCTGCGTAAGATCAGCAGCCCTCCATATACTACATATGGAACATTATCCAATGCTGCAAGTAGATCCGTCTTATTTATAAAATGAATTATGAAGAAATTCAGTCATAGTGTTGCACTCTAGCATATAGAGCTCAGTTTCTCTGAATGTAGTTCTTAAGTTGTTCACCATTGAAGTATCTATCATTGATTAGATAACCCAATAGTAAGAGAGATTGGTTCTCTGCCGATAATTCCTCTGCTGCAGCGGAACTCTGCTTGTTGACGACTCGCATGTGAGGCCTATAAATCATATTTGGTGGAACATCATGCTCTGGATCATAGTTCCTCATCTCTTCTGGGAACTTTGTTCCTTGAGGAGTATATACACTAGAAGCTGAGTAAGACATGCTGATTCACTACTTAAAGGACTAGATTTAGGCCTCTGAAAGGTTTTACTAAGAATAAATGCACTCCTATAACCCACCAATATACTTTACTCGTTTTCCCCAAATAGAGCTAAATAACATTTAAGATCTTGCCAAAACTAGGACCTTTGCATGTACCAATATAACTTCGGAAATGCTTCAATTCTTTTGAAAACAACATCTCGAGACCCTAAGAAAACCCCTACTCAATATCATACACCTGCCAACCTTTTTTTCCAAAAAGATAACCAACAAACACACATTGACGACTACGACTAGCAAATTTATCGCCGTGCTGATTTTAGTTATGAACATAGCACAAACACCCAAATACCTTCAAATGATCAAGATAATGAGGTTTGCCAAATAACAATTCATACGAAGATTTTCCATTCAATGTAGGTGTAGGTAGGTGATTAATTAAATATCCAACAGTTAACATACAACTACCCCAAAACTCAAAAGGTAAATGAGCCTAAAAATGCAAGGCACGAGGAACATTCAAAATGCGTTGATGCTGGCGTTCAACACACCCATTTTGTTGTGGTGTTCCAACACAAGAAGTTTCATGAATAATTCCATGTTCACGAAAATATGAGTCCATACAGAGAAATTTAGAATCATTATTACTTCGAATCATTTTCACCAATTTTCCAAATTGTCGATGCACCATGGCAAAAAAATTCAACAAAGACATAAACACCGCCTTTTTATCATGAAGTGAAAAAATCCATGTGGCACGAGAATAATCATCTACCACTGTCAAAAAATAATGCGCACCAGAAAAAGTAAGAATTCGATAAGGACCCCGCAAATCACAATGTATTAACTGAAAAGGCTCAATACTTTGAGTTTCACTAACATGAAAAATATCCCGTGATTGTTTTGCTCGAAGACAAACATCACATGACTTATTATGCAAATGACTACTAACTATAGAATCATAACCAGACAACTTCGAGAGAACTCTAGAAGACGGTTGTTCCTAACGTTGATGCCACAAAGAAGAGGAAAGGTTACCTCCAGTATGAACATCAGCTGCAGTCACCATTCCCCGGAAGAAATAGAGACCCCCAAACTGCTCACCCGCACCAATCACCATCCTCGAAGTATGGTCTTGTATAACACAAAATGTATTCGTGAAGTGAGCTATACAATGAGATTGATCCAATAACTGAAATAAGGAAATCAAGCTACATTTTAAAGTAGGAACAAATAAGACATTAAATAACTTCACATCTCTACTAAGATAAACAGTCTGAGCCTTGTTGGCTACAGTTAAGGTGCCATTTGGAAGCTGAACTGGACGAGATGCAATATCCCTAAAACAAGAGAGATACTCAAAGAAACAAGTCATATGATGCGTAGCACCGCAATCATACATCCACTGATGGGAAAGATTCTTACCGGTGAGAGAACTAGAGTTACTACCATTTCCATATTTCAAATATGCAACCATCTTGTGCCATTGATCATCCATCAAGCCAGTAATGGCTTTGTCACCTTCACCAAGCAGCAATTGACCACTAGAAGCATAAAAAACCTTTGCTGCATTGGCGAGAACCACGCCCAAACCCTGATCAACACCAATTCCACGTGCAACATCAAGAACCAAAGCTGCATGGACTACATTGGCTGCGACAACACCACTTCCACGTCCAGCAACAACAAGTCCACCGCGTCCAACCCCATCAGTCCGAGTAGAAAAACCAGTGGTTGATCTTGAAGCAGCAACAATGTTGCGCGATCCACGGTGCCAATCAGGATAGCCGGTGTTCCCAAAACAAGAATCTTCATCGTGTTTGGCTCATCCACAGTAGTTGCAGACCCGATTGCTTCGATCTCTATCGGAACAATGTCCCCGACACCGAGAAGCAGAAGGAGCAACAACCCGTGAATTGGATGGAGTTCCAGCAACATTACTGGCGGCATTAATGGCAAAAACAACCGTCTCTCCATCGTGAACTTCAGCATCAACAACAGAAACACGTAATATGTCCTCTTGAACCATGATGGAGTAAGCACGATCAAAAATTCGGGAGAGGATCTTGTGCCAACAGATTCGAGCGAGCTGTACCATAAAGATAAGGGTCTAAACCCATCAAAAATTGATGCACCTTCTTGTCCTCTCGCTTCCGATCCCATTTGGCCAAAAGATTACATTTGCACATACCACATTGGCGCATTGGTGGTCGATCAAAATCGGCTAATGCCTCCCATAGTTGGATTAGTTTCCCATAGTATGCTGCGAAACTCGACCCTTTTTTGCTTGCATTCGGCCAATGATGATTTGATTTGCTGAATCCGAGTATCATTGACAACCGGAAACCTTGATTGAATATGAAGCCATAGATCACGGGCCTCCACCAAACTAGAAATCAAAGATCAGAGAGACAGTTCAATCGTATTGAGCACCCACGAGCAATGAAGGCTATTGTTAGCCCACCAATCAACGAGAACGTCTTGATCATCAAGGGGGGCTTTGATAGAACCGTCAAGAAATCCAAATTTCCTCCGAGCCCGTAAAGCCATCTGAATTGCACGAGACCATTCTTCATAGTTGTCGCCGGTAAACTGAACATGAGTGACCATCGAACCGGGATTATCATTCCCCGTTAAGTTGTAGGGTGAAATTGTGTGCCGGTTAATCACATCATTGCTACCACCGCCTGTAGTAGTACATTTCCCAGCAGTGGCAGAAGGTTCAACAGGACTGGTCATGATCAAATAAAGAAAAAAATCCTTGCACGCGATACCATAACATAACAATCAAGAGGTAGCATGAAATGGCCTTCGAAAATTCCCCATTATGATGGCAATGCAAAGTTATTTATATATTTTGGGTTAGGGTTTAGTTACATGTGGTAATTAGTAACTAAGTAAAGTAAATATCTATAGTAACTATATTTACATACACTAACAGTATTAAGCATTGCACTATTATGATTAGTCTCCTAAAATCAAATAGAAAGGGGAGACATGCTCCCAAGTACCGTCCTAGGTGGTTTTTTTTTTTAATTTAAGAATCTCATATTAATCTTATGTCTTATACATGTAACGACAAATAAAAAATATTCACATGTAACCTCATCGATAGGTTTTTGTTCTCAACCTCATGTTCACTGGTATTTTGTGATAAAATGCTTCTTTTAAGAATATTTAGTATTGTTGTCTAACTGCTAAATAGCTTGAGGTTACACCTCCAATTTTATTGTTTAGAATAAAAAGTACACAACCTGTTTAAGACTTACCATGAAAAAATTGAAAGCCTTATAATATAGTTTTTCCTTACAAAACTTGATTAATAAAGAAAATATTAAAGGATCTCATACAATTTTATATCTATCTAGCTTATAGCCATATGTATGATGTTACACGGCAATCCAAATCTAACAGATCATGACCTCCATGAGCCACGAGGCACCTTTGATGATTGGTAAAAACTGCAA